AGTTATCGACAATGATTTTTCTAATACACCAACATAACATCGAAAAACATATTTAACAAAACTACTTAAATACCTAAAATTAGGTACACATAATATTTATTAGGATAATGACTATCTTCCAAGCGAACATTGTTCTATCCACAAGTATCTTCTATTCCTTGACACTTTGCAAAAACCTGTTAATAAAACTCCAATCTCGAATACCATAGAATATATTTTCATTCGTTTAATAAATATAGGTTTACCATCCAGTGAGAATAAGATTTGTAACATTATTAATTATAGTTTACAACATTTTGGATACATAATCAAGACCCTAATACCATTTTATGATTTTAATTAATAATGAAACATGTCAATCTGATTTCAAATAAACAAGAAACAATTCAAATAAACAAATATGTCAAACATCAAAATGAGATATGTGACACCAATCCATGGTCATCACTTTCAAGTCTTGACTAGGGATGGCGACGCAACCTATATTCGAAGGGGAACACGATACACGACCTTGAGTTCAGTGAGGAATCTCCTAATAGACAAAAGATTACATTAAGTCATTAAGTATAAGAAATTACCAAATAAAATAATGGCCAACTGGACGCAAATTTAAGGCATTTTTGGTCTATAGCCCTAACGTGAATTTGGTACATATTAATCTATAAAAATATATTTATGTTACAAGTTCACAATACCCAATATTTAATCAAAGCATACAAACTAATTAGTCATTTTTCACTTGAAATTGTATATTTACCTCAAATATTTTCCTTCCTTCTTAGTTTATCAAATTTTACCTCAAATACAACCTTTTTTTTTATATGATATTTCATAATTATTACACTTTATGTTTAATTTGGTAGTGCTTAAAGGGTTATTTGAATAAACATTTGTGCTCTAAGTTAAAGAATATGATCTCCCATTCATTTTGTTTTTTAGTTATTACATTTTTTTTATTACTTGAGATATTTGATTTTTTCATTTATATTTTGTAAATTTTGGCAAAAATTTGGATCTAAATGATTTATAATATTTAGGCAATCTCTATATTTTTTATCTATATTGTAGAATTTTTAAACTTGCGGTTATATTTTAAAATTTGTAGTTTTAATATACATAAAAGTTCTACTCTTATATCGGAGAAAAATAATCAGTTCCCCACTTGACATACACGTTATATATAACGATGATGCATTAATATTCCTCAATGGAGATGGATGGAATATGCGTTGAGGATTCCAGGGTGGGATGAAAATTGGGTTCTCAAGTACTAGAGGACATGTAGCCATCTCTACTCTCAACCCTATATACAATCAAAATTGCATATTAATGTCCATAACTTCCAAATTTGTTTGAAAGATATACACATCACTATGGAAAAATATAAATCCTTTCCCACCCTTTAAATCATGCCATGCAATACATAATATAATATCAACATCTTTTTTTCATAAAACATGAATCATAATGCCTTAAAATCATGAAGGTAACATGTGAAAAATGTAATACTTGACTTTCAATAACAACCACATCTTAGACATATATCTTGTTTTTGCAAACCTCTTAGAAGTGAATCAGGATCAATTCACCATACTAAAACTTCCCACATATTTGGAAATAACCAATATACAACATATTACAAACAAGTAAAATCTACACCTTATATTCTATTGATACATCTTTTACGTTTTTTAAACCTTATTTTCGTGTTTTAAGTCAATTACACGAAATCTTAAATTGTCAACACATCCAACGATACAATTTCAAGACAAATCTCGTATAATTTAAAACAAATAACATAACGAATAACAATATAAAAATATTTAATAACATAAAGTATGTTTTGCACATCGCAACTAGTTAATTTTTTAATTTTTATAGGTTGTTATGTTTGCATACAAAATAGTAGACTATAAGATAACTTTAAAATAAATAAATAAAAACTATGCATTCTACGTTTCAATGCAAGTTTTTTTAGATTTTCTCAAATATAAATTTATAAAAATTCATTCCCCTAGTTGATTCAATACTTTTAAAATATAGTTAAGTAAACATAAAATCGGAAAAATACTTGTTAAATTTGGTTAGTTAATATAGTTATTATGCATGTCTTAGGAGGATATATCGGTAATTGGTAATGTTTTTTTTCAAAGAAATAGGAAATGATATATATATATATATATATATATATATATATATATATATATATATATATATATATATATATATATATATATATATATATATAAGAAAAAAATCAATAAATTTCAATATATAAAAATTATCCAAAATTTCAATGTAACAAAAAGAAAAGATTATGGAATTTTATATATAAGAAATGAGGCATGGCAATGGGCTATTCTGTTGGCGTACACAATCGTGATATTATTTGAATCAAAGTTGTCAAAATTGAGATTTATATAGGGGTCGTTTTTGTTTTTCAAGATCGAATCAGAAATGTAAAATCTTACCAAAACCATTTTAAAACATAAAAAATATATTCCTATCCACTAATTAATCGTTCGACTAACAATACATACCTTGAAGCATGAAAAATGCTTTCCCAATACAACATTTAGCAATAAACAATTCAAATGAGGTTTTCTAAGGTTTATATTCAATGTACATATTTAATCCAAAATAAACTATTAAAATTTTTTCAAAATTTAAATAATAACAATCCTATAATCTTACGATCCAACTCCAATCTTACCCAAAAACGACTCACGTATAATTCGGATCAAATTATGTTAGAAATATGGTTTAGTGGCACTTGGAAATCTGAGAATCGTGATAATCACTTTCAAATCGAAGTATTTGGGTGGTACTCCCAAATCCTCAATTGGATAAGACTCAGATAAAATCAAAGAGAAAGAAAGAGAGAATGAGATGGTATAATTTTCGTGAGTACCAGAAAACTGACTAAAATTGGTTATATACATTCCTTGTCTGAAAAACTGTCAAAACTGTCATATAACAGTTTTCTCAACAGTCAAAACTGTTATAAATCCGGGTTTGGTATAAAGATTAATGCAAAGTCAAAACCGGGTCAAATATTCAAAATTTGGATTTTCTGATGCATTTTTAATACAGCAATATAACCCAAATAAAAAAAATTCGCGCTGACCTGGCAGCTCGATCACAGCCAGGGGCTCTGCCCCTTGGACCCCGCTCCCAGGGGCGCTGCCCCCGGACCCCGTTCGTTCAGGGGTTTCGACCTTAAATGACAGTGTACTTTGATACTTGATCAAACTTAAACAAGTGTGTACTCCACACCTTCCTTACTTGTTTAATATTTATCAAGATCATTTTTAGTCAACAAAGTAATCCCAGTACACTTAAATAACATTGATGATAACAAATCACCAACAAATTACATAGTTAGGATTGTAAAATCATATGATTCTACGATCAAGATCACGATTATAACAACCTCAATTTGAATATTTTTCCAACATTTTAGAAACTTTTACATACTTTTTTTAGAACGGCAAATTTTTATTGAAGCCGGACTAACAAGAAAATAGTCGGAAAAAGCAAACATTACATAACAACAATTTGAGGGTTTGTAACCATCCAACTCAATTAATGTCTTTCTTAAACCTAATATTACACCATAAAAAATAAGTGACAGTACTATAAAAAAAAAAACAAAAGATGTGGCCCTCGATTTAGAGATACCAACCAACGTAACGTTTCCACAAGTCCAAGTATGCCAACAATACACGTAAAAATTGACTTCCAAAAAATTATTCACAGCCATCGAAATTATGAGTAGCTTTAATCACGTAACCAAGAAGTTTTTACATGGTTAATTAATATTTAATCGTGATAATATTTGATAGTCACACAATGAGATACGAAAATTTGTGATAATATTACAAATGCGATATTAGATGAGTTTCATTTAAACATAAATAATTGCAAAACTATTATGAAGTACTTTAATTAAATGAAACGTAGTCTTTACATGTCATTTTACATCTCTCAACTTGTTTTTAGCAAACAATATTTTATATTAGCTATAACAATTAACTTTTTAGTTTCCTTCCACAAATTGCTTAACAAAGTAAAATCAAGAAATTAGAGACATTATCTTGCAAAAACACCCCCATAGCTCTTCCAAAAGCTGTAGGAGAATTCCACGAACTAATCCTTTACAAAATCACCCAAAGATATAAAAAAATAGCACCAAATTAAGAAAACACCTAACTTAACTTTTTTGATTTAACAAACAACCTACGTGAAGTGACTTTCAAGTCGCACACATAGTCGATCGATCTTTCTATCCGTCATGTCCAAGTCGCTCATCAACTCATATTCCAATTTCCAAGTCGCACACAACTCATATTCGATATTCCAATACACAATTCTATTTAACATATGTTAACTTCCTAATGCATTTGAGCATTTCCCTTCCCATATACACTTAAAATGCACAAATCCCCAAATTACAAAAATGTTCTTCCGAATTCTCAAATTTTATGCTATAAAATTCCAAACACCTTCATCTTCATGCCGGATCAGAATCTTATAATCATATAAAATCCTCATACGCTGTACATGATTATTTTTTTACTAATATTTAAATAGCTTTGAAATGTCGCATATAAATTAAAGATTAGAATTATACCAACTAGAGATAGCCAAATAAAATTAATCGTCATTACTCTTTTGTTTAGACTTGGTAAGACAGATTTGTCCGTTGACATTTATATAATACTCCGAGATTCAATCAATCATCCAAACATAACGAATATTTGCAAAAACCATGGGATAATTAACTATACTTACAAATTACTGATGGAAATTAATTCAGACCACTTATATTAAAACTATATTTTCGTAACACATATTTACCATGTAACGTACCTAAAATTTGAAACATTTATTACCACGAATTTTACATATAATACATATTTAACAAGAAGAAAAGATATTCCAAGGGTTAACATTCAAAACTTATTACAAACTTCACCCGATTCCATTCAGGTTCATTATCATTTCCAAGCACATGAAGCCACCAAATCTCGATTCAACCAACCAAGAAACAAAGCCCCATCACGTTCTTCAAGTCTATATTTATGCGAATAGCTTTCAAGCAAAGCCTTAATAGTCGAATTCACAAGCGTGCTCAAAGGATACGGTTTAAACCCCGCCATTGTAAACCTTGATTTCCATTTCCCAAGAAGCTCATGTCTCTCCACTCTCTCCGCACCCTCACACGCGATTATATTCACAATATCACGCGCAAGACAATGTTGTTCAACATTAATCCTCTGTAGGTGATCCCGTGGTAAGGTCACATCGATCGACTCGAAAATAGCCGTGTAGTAATTTAAAGTCTCTTGAAACCGATGAAAAAACGGAGCGGTATTCACATTCGATTCCTGTTCGACAAGTGTCACAACTTTCGGAGACAACCCTTTTATGAGACGCAACAATCGATCCCTATGATTTAAAGGGTCCACGCTTTCGTCCGGCATGTGATGAAGCATAAACGCGAAATTAACCGCTAACGATTCCCCCGGGACGATTCCGAGATGTGACGCCTCGACCTCGGAACCGGAAACCGGGATTCCGTGGAATTGGAACGGGATGTTACATGATTCCGCTAGATTTGCTAACCGTTGACCGATGATGTTGACGCCACCGCCTCTGGCGTACGCGTTTGTGGAGTCATCGACACCGGTGATGCGAAGGGTGGGGGGCCCACCGGGGCGGGAGGCGAGAGCTTGGATTAGGGTTACCCATTGGGAACCCTGAGCGATTTGGAAATCGATTATGTGGATTTTGTTTTCATTTTTCATGGCTTCTGCTATCGCGCCATTGGCGGATAGGTAACCGAATTTGAAGTAAGGACATGCTTCATAGAGTACACGCATGTAGGAAAAGAGTTCGTTTCCGGTTGGTTCTTTGCAATTTAGGGTTTTGTAGATTGAGCTGCCTGAAGAAGATAGTCTTGCAACGAGCCCTTCAAGCATGTAAGCTCCTAGACGATGAGCTGGCTCGCCGGAAACCGACACCATAGGGCGTAACACAGACATTAGCCAGTTGGCGGTGATTGAATCGTTTTCTGCAACTGATTTGGCACACGCGAGGAGCAATTCTTTGAAGTTTCCTCTTGATATCATCTCTGACATGGTGTCTGAAATTGTTTGATTGGTTTCACCCCAAGAAGATGAGCCATTGTAAGTTTCCAAGAAATCTTGATCGGTTCCAAGCATCGCGGTTTCTAGTTCTCTTAGTCTGTATTCTAGATCGTCTGTGTTGGTATCTGTGAAACCAACCCTACTTACATGTGAGGTGTATGTATAATCAGGGGAATGGTATGTGTCTGGAATGTAGGAGTGAGAATCTTGTTGTGAAATAGAGCTGCCATTTGAGGAGAAGCTTGCAGTAGAAGAAGAGTTGTTACCGAATTCAGGTGTTTGAATAGAAAAACGGATTCCTTGGTTTAAATCGGATGGGTATAGATTCCGATCCATGTTTTCAACAGGTGTTTGGTAATAGTTCTGCATCGAGATTTTCCCCTCTAGAATTTCGGTAACATCGGCATCTAGAGTTGGCTGTTTGATAACAAATCAAATGGTTTCATATCAGAAACAAATCAATTGAGCACCCGAATTGAATCACATAGGAAATTAATTATATATGTCAGCTCAAAGTCGTAGATTGATGCTACTCGTGGACAACTATTGATAGTAACATGATAAAAGTATGAAAAGAACTAAAATTTGCAAAAGTATCATAACAATTATATAATCTCCAATCATGTTTATTCATCCAGAATCGTAGATACAGAAGAATTTCGTTCATATTATGATTACTGTTCCATAGAAAATATTCAGGCATCAAAGCTTGCAACTAAGCAATTAAAATCAGACAAACAGTGCAAGCAAAACCCTAAATACGAAATTCGCATTCAAACGAATATTCCATGTCAATCAAACTCACGAGAGCACGACCACAGAAAAAACAGCAGATCAAGTATCTAAGCAAGAATAGCAACTATAATTCTGCTAATTAACAGAAGTAAACATCTTTGGACACTTCTGTTAACCCTTACAACAGTTAGAAATCAACTAGAAAAAGCATTCTAAATTAGAAAAGAATTTCTAATATAAGATCGAAAAGAATTTCAAGACTATAAGTGTTCTCACATACCTTTTCATCCAAAAACTTCTGTTGAATTCTGTTTTTGACTTCGATTTCTAGGGTTTTATTAATTGATTTGGATGAGAATATGATGCTCTGAGCTTGAAAACCGTAGTACGAAGCATCTACTGCTATGAGTCTGTCTGAACGAGTGGTCTACTATTTATAGCCACGAATTTTCTCAGTTAATAAAAATGAAAAAGCATTATACAGTAAATTACATGTTTGGCTCCTCATTTTAGCTTCTTTTACGAATTTGGTCCTTATATGAATCACTTTGTAACTTTTAAATTATTTTGTAATTATATTTGGACAACATTTTCACCGGTTTTATCCAAATGAACAATTTAAATTGCAAATGGTATTAAATTTTTTTGAACTAAAATATGAATCTGGAGTTGTAGTAATACATAAATTATTGTACGTACAACAATTTTAGATTTCCATTCAAGATATTTTAGTTTTATATATATCAACTCTAATAAATAAATGTTTTTTTTATCAAATATCATTCTTATATTAAATTTGACACATATTATTTTTTGATATTTTTTAATAAATGTTTTTCTATTTGTTATTTTATCATTTTTTTTATTTTTTCTTAATTAACAAATCAAATTTACACATCAATTAATAATTATCTTAATTAAAATAGTCAATAAATTACAATATTAATACTTATATATTGTATTTAATATGTTTTCTTTTAAATTTAAGTTTTAAATGTTAAATTTTAAATCTAAAATTTCAAATTTAAATAATTTTTTGTTTAAACCTTCATATATATATTTTTTGTTTTACGCAACTCGTATAAGATACGGGTCTCACAAATAATATATATATATATATATATATATATATACACACACACACACACATACACACACGATTGTGTCTAATTTTAGAATGAGAAATTAAATATTCTCCTACTTTTTGTTCCTACAAATCATCATACCCAATCAAATGATGACATGTATAACATTTAATGTTCATTTGATGATATTTTAATATACTAATGTAACACATATCATCATTTAAATAGGTAGAAGGATTAATAGGAATAAAAAGTAATAGGATATTTAATTTCTCTTTTAGAAGTAGCGTATGTCTTTTCGTGATTTCATCCCAAAACAAATATAGTATTTAGCTTAAAATATAATTTATATAAGTATCTAACTATTAATAATTTAATATAATATTTCTTAAGAATCATTTGAACGCAATTAAAATTACAAGTTTCACGTAACCATTTTAACATAAAAAATTATATTTAAAAACTTACAGAAGCGTAACATATTTTAGCTAACTTAAAAAATAAAAATAAAAATCGTGGTTACATTTTTAGCAAAATAGGAATTATTTTATATTACTAAAAAGAGTACCCCAATGTTGAACCGCTTATCCGCGGTATGTTTATTGTTTAGTTGGAATTGGAACTTGGACTAGACTGGTAGTGAATGGTCAAGGGAAACGTGTGTGAACACCGTTGATTATACAAAAAGTATCCTTATAGTTTCATCTAATACCATGTATACCCTTAACAGTTTCACCAACTTCCATTTTTATTATTGAATTCTTTCCTAGGTGCATAAAAATAAAAGTTAAATTACAAGACCATATTTGAAAGCCAAAATGATCATGTTTTTATCTTTTATTATAAATAACTATCAACCTCGTTAAAGATATTTCATGAATCCGTAAAATAGATTTTTGTTGACAATAAAACCATAAAATCTTCGCAAGATTCACTCTCATGAATACGATTTTTTTTCATATGAAATCAAATCAATTATCATATTTATGACTTGCAAACATGTTGAGAAACTCATTTACGACATCGAAACTATCATTTTTAGCGTTCGTTAATGTTTCACGAATATTATTAGTGTTCGTAGATGCATTATAAATTGAGCGTTCTTGAAGACAAATCTTAGGACTTTTTTTTTTTTTATCTTTCTTATTTCTTTTTATTGTATTTTCGTTTCAATATGTCTTCGACTCTAACACTTTATATGTGTTATATGTGTTTTTTCTTCTTGTGTCCAAACTATTCTACATAAATTCTAGTGGTTAATTCTACATATTCTTTTTGAGTATAGAGAGATTTTCTTGTGTGATAAATCGAATACTACTTTTAAGAATATATTCATAAACAAAATAAAGTTAGTAGATTATCTTGATATGTTTTATTCAATCCTATATGTTGGTAAATTATATTCAAAGTTGAAAATCTATATACCTTTTTGAAAATTAGGAACCACATCCACCTCACTTATTACAATCTATATACCTTTTGAAAATTAGGAACCACGTCTCACCTCACTTATTACACATAATTAGAGTCTATATGATGTATATTCTTGTTGAACTTAAATAAAGTTATTGGTGTCAAATTCCATTGTACTCTTCACTACAAAACTCTCGCGGCTCATATATGTTAAATCATGCTTTACCTACTAATACATTAAGAATTTTTTAAATTGTTTAGAATTCTTGATTTCCTCTATTTTTTTTATTTTTTTTCATTCATGGATCATATATAAGAAAGGGGACATAATGTACAAGATAAGTTGTTGGCTAAGCGGACAAGATGGTTTGCAAGGACTCGGAGAAGACGCGGTTCGATTCTCCGCATCCCCTCTTTGAGTTGTTCTTTTTTATTGAAAATGTTGATGTAGCAAGTCTAGCCACCCTTGTCACGCCAGCCACAACTACACACGTATGCATGTCAGGTCAGCAAAAAACCACCACATAGGCGGTGACCAGTTTGTGACCTACAAAACTTCATAAACAAACTTTTTTCTAGAAAAAATGGCAAAAGAGTAACAAACAAATGTTAAGGTAAACTGCAAATTTAGTGATAAACTTAAATATTTTTATAGCAACAGCCCAAAAATAAGAAACAAACAAGGTTACAATTTAAGGAAATGACACGAAATCCCAAAACTTACAACTTCATAATGGTTTTACCTAATTATACTTCAAGTTTGTCAAAAAAAAAATAACTTAATGGCAAATATTCGGTTTTGTAAGACTTTCCTTATTATCATGTCACTTAACATGTTATGTCAACGTCTCAATGTAAAAAATTAAAAAAGAATTAGTGCAGGTTGATTTCGAACTCAACCCTCCAACAGGAGGGGTATAAAGGGATACAACTGAGCAAAGCCAACATTTTTGTTAGGGATAATGACTTAAAAGGGTAATGTATTTTTTAATTTGTATACATTTAGTCACTGGTTTTTTTTTCGTCCATATTTACCACTTCAACATGTTAAATTTTACACATTTAGTCCTTAATTCAGATTAACCGGTAAAAATGACTTAATAAGGTAATATATTTCTTACTTTGTACACATTTAGTCATTAATATTTTTGTATACATTTAGTCCTTATTTATTTCTTTATTTATTTTGCAAAATAAGTCGTTTTTGTACTCATTAAATACTTATGAATGATTTCTTTAGTTTTTTTCTCACGAAATCTCACGTGAGAAATTCATTAATGAAGTGTTTAAGTCTTTTGATTCTTATGTCCATCGCGATCTCGACTACTTGGTTGCTTAAGTCATGTGTTCTGAACGTCATAACTTCTTCATACGATCTCGGATTTTAACGAGCTTTATATCCATGCGTTCATATTTTAGTCTACTACAACTTTTATTTAGATTACTTCCATTAAAAAATAATATATTTTTACTTACGATTATTATATCCATACGCAGGGACAGATTTTGCCTGGTCCAAGTGTTGCACCGGCAACACTTGTTTTTTTGTCTGTAATGGAAAAAAATTCGATTTTTTTTCGTTTATAGCTATTTTCATGTATCAGTAACACTTATTTCATCTCGGCAACACCTACTATGTATTCTTGCGTCTGCCCATGTCCATACGTTTTTACGAATGCATGTATGGATTTTTTTTATAAAATCATAAGTAAAAATATATTACATTTTAACGGGAGTAATCTTAATGAAAAAATGAACACATGCATATAAAGATCGTTAAAATCTGATATCATATAAAGAAGTTACGATGTTCAGAATACAAAACCTAAATCAAACCACAAGACATACGCAACCAAGTAGTCGAGATCACGTTAAACATAAACACCAACAACCCCAAACAACTCATCAATGATTGTTCAACGTAAGATGTCGTGAGAAAAGCCTAAACAATCATTCATAAGTACTGAATGAGTACAAAAAATTACTTATTTGAAACAAATTATATATATATATATATATATATATATATATATATATATATATATATATATATATATATATATATATATATATATATTCAGGTTCATTTGAGACCATTCTAATTTTGTGAGACCGTAAAACCAAATCTAAAACTAATTTTAAAATGCAAAATAAATGGAAAAATCCAAAAAAATCTTTTTTTAAATATTATTTTCGGAACTTGAATTAACTAAAAAAAATAAAAAATAAATAAATAAAAAATTCCGTTTTTTTTTTTTGAAAAATAAGTGAAATATTCTAATAGAATATTACACTGACATATTCTAAAAAATAATTTTAAAATGCAGAATAAATGAAAAAATCTAAAAATTCTTTTTTTAAATATTATTTTCGGAACTTGACTTAACTAAAAAAAATAAAAATAAATTCCATTTTTTTTGAAAAATACGTGAAATATTCTAATAGAATATTACACTGACATATTCTAAAAAATAATTTTAAAATTCTAAATAAATGGAAAAATCCAAAAAAAAAAAAAATTTAATATTATTTTCGGAATTTGAATTAACTAAAAAAAATAAAAAAAATGCGTCTCACGGTCTTACAAAATTAGGTCGTCTCACATGAACCTAACCCTATATATATATATATATATATATATATATATATATATATATATATATATATATATATATATATATATATATATATATATATATATATATATACTAAATATGTACAAAAATATTAAGGAGTAAATGTGTACAAAATGAAAAATATATTACCCTATTAAGTCATTTTTCCGGCTAACCTAAAGTAACTGGTCATAAGGACCGAATGTGTACAATTTAACAAGTTAAAGGGGTAAATGTAGATAAAAAAAAACCTCAATGACCAAATATGTATAAATTGAAAAATATATTACCTTTTTAAGTCATTATCCTTTTTGTTAATATCTTTCACGGATTTTATATGTTGTGTATTATTAACATGTTTTTAATATAGATACATATTCATAAGATACAAAGTACAAATACTTTTGGCGTGTTTGGTAAAAATAGCTGTTAGCTGGAAGCGGGTAGCAGATAGTTGGTAGCGGGTAGTGGATAGCATATAGTGGGTAGATGGTAGTGGAAGCTATAACTTTTATTTGTTATAGGAGTGTTTGACAAAAGTAACTGGAAGTTTTTGAAATATATAAAATTACATAAAAGGACTATTGAATAAAAATAAATAAATATATAAATATATTTTAAAGGGTAATTATGAAAATTGATTTCAAAAGGTCAGTAACGTTTTGTTAAACGCTACATGAAGTAGCTTTTAGATTTGACGCGTTTTGTTTAAATTAAAAGTTAAACGCTCGTACTACCAAACGAAATTTTTTGTTTAAACTAAAACGTTTTGTCAGAAACTTAAAGGTAAAAGCTCCAAAACGTTTCCAAAAACTTTGTGCCAAACACGCCTTTTGTATTTGAGGTTAACAAGCGAAGTAAGAAGTTTTTGAAATGTTAGTTGAAAGCTTATATGGTAAAAATAAGTAGTATTTGAGAGGTTAACAGTTAAGATACCACTAAATACAAATACTCAACAATCACAATGATAACGAAAACAGTTTTGAAGCATAAAATACAAAGGAAAACTATTATTTTATAAAGCCTAAGGATAAACTAAACAAAGTAACAACCACATAAGAAGATTTAGTTTAGCCACTCAATAAGTTACAAAATCGAGTTTTCTTTTAATAAGTTATAGACCTCGTTCTTTATTTCAAA